CCCCCAGTACGCTGGCTGCCAGCCGCACACCCCACTGGGGGTCCGAGTAGCAGCGGGCCCCCAGATAAACCAACAGGAGGAGCAGTCCAGACCGCAGCCTGACAAATACCCAAACATACACAATCGCACCATCCCACCCTCATCCTCACCCCCACTCAATCAAAGACATACAAGGATGCCACATTCCACTCATACCCCCGATACACACTCTATAACCTCCAGGTCCAGGACATGTACCCACCCCCTAATGGAGGCAGCACACACCTGAACCCAGGAGGTAGACCCAGTGAGGATTGTTTTCTTTCTTTTGTTTTTCTTTTACATGATTTGCTGGATTGGTAATAATTTTATCTTTAAGATATAGTAAATGAAAACGGTTGTTAGAGACAATATGAAATTATGGCTAACTAAAGATTCTAAAGTCTTTCTAAATGAAATATTTTTCTTTAACCATTTGCATGTGACTAACCTGTTTGTCCATGTGGAGGCAGTGCTTATAAGGCTGAGTTCACCTGAAACTCCTCAGACTGAAGAAGTCTCTTGCAGAAGAGATGGAACGTTTCAATAAAGACAAACCYGTCCAGAGGATCTACTTGTTTTGTCTTTTTTGATTTTTCCAGCTTGATTWYTGAGCTGCATCAGGACATTTTTTCTTTATTCATCAGATTATGCACATTCTAAATGCCACGTAAAAAACTTTGAAAAACGCCATTTGTATTCCTAAAAGAATATGTCATATAACATTTCCCTTCAGACCTCAGATCCATTGAAATGGACCTCACGCAGATACAATCCTAAACCAATAAAAATGATTCTATCATTTGAATAATTCTTGTGTTACTGATTATCCAATTAAATTAAAGTAATAAATCTCAGCTTGAAATAAGTGAGTTCTGAAAATCCTACTCTTCCATGTGGTATCTTTATTTCAATCAAAAATATACATTTATGTTCGCGGTAACTTAATAAAAATGCTCTCATAGCTTTTAAGTGATAATGTTTGAAAATGTTTTGAAAATATTTTTTATTATTAAATTGTAGGACTTGGGATCTGTTAGCCAACACTAACTATTGAGTGCACTACAAGTCAAAAATACCTGCAAGCATTTCATGGCTGAATTGTAAGTTCACAATGAATTTATTTAACATTTTTCTTGTTTTAGAGTATAAAAGTCACAGACTTTCTTGAACCGAATAATAATAATA